ATGTTGTTTGTGCTTAGGGATTTAGGGTTATGTTATATTTCATGTATGTCTCAGGATCGATATTGAGAGAAATGCCTTTTTGTTTGTTTTTATTTTCTTTGAGACTGTGTAGCTCTGGCTGTCCTGAAACTTACTATGTACACCAGCTTGAGCTCAGAGATTCACCTGCCTCTGCCTCCCCAGTGCTGGGATTGAAAGCATGCGCCACCACTACCCAGTGCTGGGAAATGCTTTTCAAAACAGCAGATACATGAAGTATTTCTGCTAAGTTAGAGTCTTTATGTCACTATTAAAGTGACATATCTCACTAATGGGGATGTTCTCCTACCCCTGCAGACTCAAGAGAATTAAGAGGAGAAAAGAGGAACTCCACACTCGAACATTTAGCTTTTTTGGGGGTGGGTGGGTAGGGCACTGGGCATTGAACTTATATTCTTGTGCATGCTAGGCACAATGTTCTGCCATTGAGGTAAATTCTTAGTACTTGGTTTTGGAGACAGGGTCATGCTGTGTTATTCAGGCTAGAGTCCAGGCTGGCCTTGAACTCATTCTTTCTCCCTCAGACCCCCAAATTCTGGGATTATTGGTGCATGTCACTGTGTCCAGCTATGTGTATTGATTCTGAATGAGCAAATGTAGTTTTGCTTAGATTCTGCAAGGTATTGTTTTATTTAGATTTTGTTACTGTAGATTGCACTTGTAAGGGGTTTATCATCCTTTCTGACACTGGGATTCTATAACAGCTCACCTAGAGGCACAGCACACTTAAGTATAACAGGCTCATTTCAGTCCCATTCCTGTCACCAACACAACATGACTGGACCTTCATAGTGGTCGCAGAAATCTTGGTATGGCTGTTTTTTCTTCTTGCTGCACTTTATTAATGTAGGTAGCAGAAGTAGAGCTCAGGCTCTTATCACTCTGGATACTGGAGGATGCTTTGTGGTTTCTGTGTCCCTGCTCTGCTGCACATAGCAAGGCTCCAGAGACATACTTGTCTAGATGGCAAGGGAATGAAGGAAAAAAAAAAATTAGATGGACACATTATTTGCTGGGATTGGGTAGTCTTGGCTCTCTGCTGAAGAAACTGCAGTAGCCCCAAAGTTTATTGTGTTTATTATATTATATACAGTTGAACAAGGAGGGGATAGTATTTTTTTATCATTTTTTTATTTGAATTAGAAACAAGATTGATTTACATGACAATCCCAGTTTCCTTCTCCCTCCCGTCCTCGCCTACCACCCTCCCCCGCCCCAACTAAAACCCTACCTATCACATATCCTTTCTTCTATTCTTCCCCTGACTCAACCTTTTTGCTCCCTCATGACCTCTGTATCCCTCCTCTTCTTTCCTTCTCATTCTGGTAGCTCAACCCCCCTCTTCCCATGCTCTCAATTTGCTCAGGGGATCATGACCCTTTCCTCTTCTCCAGGGGACAATGTTTGTCTTTTTTAGGGTTAGGGGAGAGTATTATATGTAGAAAAACAAGGAGATGAGGCTTATGGTATTCAGGAGACAGGACTATCCAATCTCTGTAGGAGCAGTCTCTGTAGGGGAGCAGCCATCCTGCCATAAAGATCCTAGGGGAGAAAGCTATGGAGGGCGATTTCTGCACATACTGTCAACATCTGCCAACATCTGCATGTGGATCAGAAGGGACGGCTTTGCTGTTTACCCACACATCTGATGCTAGGGTCCTTAATATGGCCAAGCCAATGCCAACAATACACACTAAGGACCTCACAAAGTCAGGGCTTCCTCCACTCCCTACACTGTCTTGCAGTTGAGATTTTTTCGTTGTGCTTTCCCACTGTGACCTGGATTAAGAATCTTCCATGTGCCACTGAGGAGTTAGTTGTGGGCAACTAGTGGATAGGAATTCCTTGCTCAAAACCCTTGTGACTGATCCAATAGTTAATTCTAGACCGGTGTGTGTGTGTGTGTGTGTTGTGTGTGTATGTGTGTGTTGTGTGTGTGTTTTAGTTCTTTTTCCTTTTTTTATTAATTTATTTTTTTTACATTCCAATCCCAGTTCCCCCACCTTCCTCTCTTCCCATTCATCCCATTCCCCCACTTCCCCCTTCTCCCATCTGCTCCATGGAGATGGTAAGGCCTCCCCTAGGAAGTCTACTAAGTCAGTCCCACCATCTAGTTGAGGCAGGACCAAGGCACCTCTCCACCCCCACACCCCTGTGTCTAAGCTGGGCAAGGTATCTCTCCATATAGAATGGGCTCCACTAAGTCAGTTTGTGCATTAGTGTTAGATATTGGACCCAATGCCAATGGCCTCATGCATTGTCCCAGTCATACAATTGTCACCTATATTAAGGGAGTCTAGTTTTTTGGTTTTTTTTTTTTTTTTGATTTTTGAGTCAGGGTTTCTCTGTATTGCTTTGAAGGTTGTCCTGGAACTAGCTCTGTAGACCAGGCTGGCTTTGAACTCACAGACATCTTCCTGCCTCTGCCTCCCGAGTACTGAGTGCTGGGATTAAAGGCATGCACCACCAACACCTGGCTAGTATTTTTTTTTTTTTCAAACAGGGATTTCACTATGAAGTCCAGGATGACCTCAAACCCTTGATCCCTCTATGTTAGCCTCTCATGTACTACATAGGATTCTTCGATTTTCTAAATTCTAGAAGTCCTCAACCTTCCAGTTGTTAGGTAGTTGATAGGATTCCTCAGCCCCACAAATGCTGGGAGTACAAGTATGGCCCCGATGTGTGTCTTGGACCTCATTGATTTTCATCATATCCCTTTCAGCCTCTAAGGCTACAGATCTGTACCATTCCTGTACTTTCTCTGAGCAGGAGTTTAATATTTTCTCCCAGGCACATGGCCTCCATACCCTGTTATGCCATAGGTAGAAACTTGATGTTATGGGCTGCCTTTCCCGTCATTGACCTCTGCCAGGCTAGACTCTCTCTGAGCAGCAACAGCAGCTTCATCATGTTGAATGCCTTTCTTCCCAGATTTCCCCTCGTGTCCTCCTGCCTTCCTGTGTTGATAGCTATTAACCTCTGTGAACAACCCCATCAGACTCTTTTTCTGTGCCATGTATGTTATATTTCAAGTGTGTGGATGAGAATTCTAAAAAGAATTGCTTAATGTCAAATATAGCCAACACCAGCTACACATATATGGGTCGCTCTTGCTGGTGACTGAGAACACAAGCCCATCACCGAGATAGAGGTGTCTTCATGGCAATTTCTCTGTGTTCAGTATGCATCCTCTGACTTAATCTAAAGTCACCTATAAAGGTTTAAAACCCTTTTTTCTTCTTTGTTTTGAGTCACAAATGATAAAAATACATATACCGTGGGGCTCAGGAACACTGCTCAGTGTGTCATTGGATTGAGTTGGCATCACATGTGGCAAAACTAGTGAAGAGGAAAGAATTAGTGAGCAGCACTGATACACATGGTCACAAAATGCAAAGATGGTTATGTCTCAGTTCCCTCATTGCTTTGCAGCATGTAGGGGGTTGCACACTTGATGGGGAACAGATCACCAGATTCTGGGCATTGCAGGGACCCTCTAGCATGTCTGTCCCAGCAGCATGTGATATGTGTTGTCAGAAATGCCCTGTCTGTCATGCTCATACCTCATAGTCAGCCAGGTCTAGTAGATATCTGCTGCCTCAATAAGCACTGGTCCCTCCAATTTGGGTATTATCTAGCAGTGAAGTTGGGGTTGAATTCCATGTAGTTAATGAGGACCTTGGACTGTTGGCTTGGAGGTACAGGGTGACCCGTAGGACTCTCACCCTGCCTGCCATGTGAGCACAGTAGGTTTTGAGTAAGCAATTTCTGGTTGCCACATTCATTCTTACCAATTTGGACTAAAAGACTTTTTTTATTACCTGATTTCTCATTGATGTACTGTTGGCATCAAAGAGTTTGTATTTATTTGAGAGCATTTGAACTAAATTTAAGCAACTAATTTTTACAAGCCCTCCAGTGACTATATAGTCTTTACTGCTGTAGTCATTTGGTACATTTTAATCCCCCAATAGGTGGTAGAAGATGGAGTGTGTGTGTGTGTGTGTGTGTGTGTGTGTGTGTGTGTGTGTGTGTTGGTTTTGCTATTTCCTTACATTAATGTTTAATAACCTCAAGCCAGTATTCATGGTATCATTGTCAGGAGCATTCAGAAATTCCATATTGTGATAAAGTCTTAATTTTTCTTTTGTAGTCATAGAAATTAGTTCTTCCTGAGCGGATCTCTACCCACCCGGTCAGGAAATAACTGCTGACCACATCCATCACATCTATCTGCATATTATCATATTTCAGAGGTTTTCCAATTAATCCATGGAAGCCAGAATCACTCCTAATTATAAGCTGTTATGCCTCTTTATTTTTTGATGTACTTGTTAATTCATGCCTACCCCTGCAGCAGTCCGTAACACAGCGCTATTATCAGTGCTTTTGTCTTTAAAAGCCTCCTGTCTGCCATTTGACCAAGATTGATCAACTGCACTCTGCTGAAATCAATCATTTTGGATTAAAAAGAAATCCATCCTGCATATTTCTTAAGGCTACTCTCGCACAATTTCTCCCCTCTTAACCCGATTAATCAATCTGCCAGCCCGGTTGCTTTTCTCCATTTTGGCTTCCTTTCCTTGCTTTTCTCTTTTTAAGGAATTGTCTGTGTATCTTGCTGTCTTTATTTCTTGTGCTGTCTTGTAGACAATGCCTCTGGAATGAAGAACCACCCGCAGAAGGCAATAGAATAATGCCTCTGTTTAAATCTGCCCAGCACTCCTCTCCGTACTTTTTTTTTAAAGAATGAAAATGACAATCCTTACATTTGGTGATTCTTTCCTTGTTTGGTTTTAGGGTTCATGCTTCACAGTTTGCTTCTAGATGCTTGGGAGGAGCTGTGACATACACACTTCTTATTTATAGCATTGCACTGCTTTATATTATGATATCTTACCCTGAGATCCCAAATGTCCTTTGGACAGATTCATTTGTATTTTATTTTCTCCTCCTAGGTACTGACTTTAACATAGACAGCTTGCCTCTGCCTCGGAAAGCCTATCATGACTGGGCCCTTTTCCATGAAGAGTCCCCCAAAAACAACTATAAGCTCTTCCATGAGCCAGTCATCACCTTATTCAACCATACAGCCACGTTCAGCAGGCATTCCCACTTGCCACTGACCACCCAGTACTTGGAAAGTGTGGAAGTCCTGAAGTCTCTCAGATACCTAGTTCCTTTGCAGTCTAAAAACAAGCTAAGAGAAAAACTTGCTCCCTTGGTGTATGTACAGTCAGACTGTGATCCACCGTCAGACAGGGACAGCTATGTTCGTGAGCTGATGGCTTATATTGAAGTTGATTCCTATGGTCAGTGTTTACAAAACAAAGAGCTTCCTCAGCCATTGAGAAATCCAGCCTCCATGGATGCTGACAGCTTCTACAGGATCATCGCCCAGTACAAGTTCATCCTTGCATTTGAGAATGCAGTCTGTGAGGATTACATCACAGAGAAGTTCTGGAGACCACTGAAGCTGGGGGTGGTGCCTGTGTATTACGGTTCCCCCACCATCGCAGACTGGCTCCCAAGTAACAGAAGTGCCATTCTTGTTTCAGACTTTTCTCACCCCAAAGAGCTGGCAAGTTTCCTTCGACAGCTGGATCGTGACGATAGATTGTATGAGGCCTATGTAGAATGGAAGCTGAAGGGTGAGATCTCTAACCATCGACTTCTGACAGCTCTGCGGGAACGGAAGTGGGGAGTGCAAGACATCAACCAGGACAACTACATTGATACATTTGAGTGTATGGTTTGCCACAGGCTGTGGGAAAACAGTAGGCTCTGGGAGCAGGTGAGTGAAGGGAACTTTGGTGTGTGTGTGTGTGTGTGTGTGTGTAGGGGGTTGGCCTGTCTCTGCCATTCTGTGTGGTGTTGACCTTCTGTCTGTGGCTGCTGCCTGCCACCATTCTCCATTTCTAGCAGAGAGGTGTGCCACCCAAGAAGGTAGAAGATCGCTTTACTCTCTGGGGACACTGGCATACTTACAATGCAGGACCTTCTGAAGCTCTCCAGTTCTGAAGATACTTTTGCTACAGGCACTGGGCATTGACACATGGGGCTGCAGAAGAGGGGAGAAGGTCCCCAAATCAGAAAATTAAGAGGTCTGCCTGCCGCCTGCCAGCATGGGCAGTCCTGTAATCCATCACCAGTTCTGTTGTTAAGGAGCTTGTGATTTGTGCCAGCTGCCTTTGCTCAAGCCTACAGCCTGCCATTAGGAAACTCATCTTGCATATGCATCTAGCTACCTCTGTCTCCATTCTTGATCTTGTTCTTTCTGACATATACTTATATTTGCTAATATAATTTAGTTTTCCTAATCCTTAATGCTTGGGATCAGAAGAATTTCAGATTTTAAAGTGTTTCCATTCTTAAATTGTTTGCATAAAACTTTACCAGTTGAACATTTCTAATCCCCAAATCCAAAACCTGAAATTAGAAAGTTTTGAATGTCAGTTTGTTGCTCAAAAAGTTTCAGGCTTCAGAGCATTTTGAATTTCAGATCTTCAGTTCTTACTTGAGGGATGCTCGACCTATATGAAGACTTGAAATAACTAGGTTCATGTCATGGAGCAAAGACCCTGAGGACCACCCAACAAAACAGGAGTACTAATTTGATAGTATTTATTAAGCTGGCTGGTGACTGCCTAGAGAGAAACAGTTCTCACAGAGCAGCCCGGCTACTTTCTGTATGGAGCTTTTAAGGGCAAAAATCATATCCTGGATGTCAGTTGCAAGTAGAAGTAGAGCAAGCAAGCTGTTTAACAGAAGCAAAAAGCAGCAGTTGGGGGGCCATCTTGGTTTCAAGTTCCTGGGACAAGATTGAGTAATTTTTAAAGAGACTTCCCCATAGGAGGGAAGCAGGGTGTCAGCTCACAGTCAGTCCTCAGATGCCTGCAGCAGAGACAGGAACTCACCAAACACTGAGATTTCTATCTCCTTGATCTTGTACTACCTGGACTCCAGAATTGTGAGAAACACCCAGATTATAGTGTTCTGTTACAGTAGAATACCTAGTGACTTCACTAAGACATAAGGTAGGATATTAAACAAGGTCTCTGTACAAGAATCCCTAGTGACTACCCTACCCAAAGACATAAGGTAGGATATTAAACAAGGTTTCTGTACAAGAAAAATGGCAGAATTAATTTGTCAACTTAATAAAATTGAAGTATATGAACTTGATAAAATTATTTTTTTCTATATTCTATCACTAAACAATTAGAAAAATAAATTGTTTAAAAATACTATTATAGTACCATAAAATATGAACTAATTAGAGTTGTCTGGCCAGTTAGTCAACATTACACACCAGAAGTGAAAAATACTGTTCAGAGAAGCTGAGGAAGAGCTAAATCAATGGTCAGATAAATCATGCCCAAGGATTTTGTCAATATTCTTGTCAGTTCTAAAACTGATAGGGACTTAACATAATCTTAATAAAAAGCCTATCAAGTATTTTTGTGGCAATTGACAAATGAATATTAAAAAAACATATGTGGAAGTAGAAGACCTAAACCGACATGAAATTTGCAGTTAAATGGATGGAGCTAGAAATAAATATTCTTTGTGAGATAACCTAGACCAAGAAGGTCAAACATGGCATGTTTTCTCACATTTGTGGATGTTAGCTTTGAATCTTTAGATATTTTGGAATTTCTATAGATGCCAAGAAACTGGTAAGAGGCTTGAGGCATTGGGTTCAATGTAAGGAATATAGAATGCAGATAACATGAAGGGGGTTGAGAAATAATGGAGCAAGAAGGAGTAAGGGGATTTCTAGGGTAGAAGAGGGATTACGGAGAAGGATAACTAACACTTCAGAACTTTGAAAAAGTCATATGGAAACCTACTACTATGGAAGCATATATATGCATACACACATACACACACTCACACACACACACTAGATGGAGATAACCTTTAATGTGAGGACAATGCCCCTCCTAGACCCTGTAGGCTATTAAAAGCCAATTATAGGAATGAGTGACCTCTTCTTTTGGACTTGTTGGTCCCATGGACTCCCCCACAAAATGTTACAGGCTATCACCATCACGGTTGACTACCTTCCAGAACTTGGGTAGGAGTCTTGCCAAAGATCCTGTACACTCAAGCCATAGAACACAGAGAAACCAAGCAGGCACTGACCTGATAGTTTTATTTGTATTGGAAAGTGCTGTACATGCCCCTTGAGGAGAAAAGTAACCGTCAGTCTTAGATAGTTATATGTGAATTATATGAGCTTAAAAAATGACTGGCCTGGCAAGATATGCCCACTGGTACAACAGTGGTATGGATGTTATGGGAGTAGTCAACCACTTTCTGATTGGATTTAAGGCTTTGTTCTTAAGATAGTATTTACACCTGGCACCATTATAAGGGCCAAGAACACATGCTATGGCTAGAGAGACCCCAGACACTAGGGAAGAACCTATTACTGTTATTTTGCTAAATGGATATAGTACTAAACCAAGTCCTAATGAGTTATCATTGTGCCCATAGATTAGTGTATCTCTCAACCCTATTAGAGACACTTTTTGTAGTTTATGGTGATTAACACAGAGACCCACAGCTGTTCAAGGAGTGGAGAATAAGAGCCTGGGCTCTCAGCTCTAAATGGGATGTGCATATCACACTTCTCCCAAGCCTCAGGGATCATTGTAGAGGAGGAAAGAGAAAGATAGTAAGAGCCAGAGGCAGTGAGTTAGGGATAGGGTTAGAGTTGAAATAATGTTTTCTGGACACAGCAGGGCAGCTGCACATATGAACTCGCAGAGATTGTGACAGCACATATAAGACTTGTGCAAGTTCAAGACAGACAAATTTCTTCATGGAGGGGGGCGGTGGTCAGGAAGTCCCACCCCTAGCTGAAGACCTATTGAAGGCAATTAGTAGTTGCTGGGAGAGGGAGATTCAGTTTTCTTTAAAGATGTGACCCCTGGTAGGTAGGGCCAGACGCCAATGGATATCACCAAACCTAGGAATATGTGAGTATATGAGCAATACATATTGCACTGGATGGATTATTTAAAAATAAAGAAGTCATGAAGTGTATATGAGGCTAGAAAGGCAGGGTTGGATCTGGAAGAAATTGGGAGAGGACTAGGGAGTAAGTATAATCAAAATGTATTGCATTAAAATCTCAAAGAATTAACTGAAATTTAAGACTTTCTATATATTCTTGACAAAGATTTAAAAATATACATGGGAAAAAGATTGCCTATTCAGTAAATTTTCTGACAAACTTAATATCTACCTGCAGAAGAATAAAATTAGACACCTCTCTCTTATCCTGCACAAAAATCAGTTCAAAGTGAACCAAAGACCTTAATTTAAAAACAGCCAAAAATCCTAGAGGAAAATACTTGAGGGTATGGGATAGGAATAGACAAGGACTTTCTAAATAGACCCCCACAAACCTGACAAATACCCTCAAGAAATGACAAATGGGATTTCATGAAATTAAAAAGCTTTTGCACAGCAAAAGAAACTACCAGCAGAGGCAACAGACAGCCTGCATACATAATGGGAGAAAATTGGTGTCAGCTATACATCAGGCAGGGGTGTTGATATCTGGAATATATAAAGAACTACAAACATTAACGCTAGGAACAAAAACAATAAATGGGCCAATGAACTGAACAGACAAAGCCCTAAACACAAATGGCCATTGAAACATATGAAAAAAAATGCTCAACCTCATTAGTCATCAGAGAAAGATAAATGAAAACACTGAAATTCCATCTCCATTAAGAATGGCAGGCATTGTGAAAACAACAAATGATGATGAGGTTATGGTCATAACAGAACCCTGGTTGGCATGTAAATTAGTCCGGTCACTGTGGTAATCAGTATGGCGGTGCCTCAGGAAGCTAAGAATATATCTATCACATGACATAGCTATACCACTTCTCTGGGCATTCATGTCAAGTACTGTAAATCAGTGTATCTTAGAGAAACACCAATATTTGCAGCACCATTCACAATAAGTGTTTTGGAATCAGCCAAGTTTGCAGCAGAGGAATGGAGAAAGAAAAAGTGGCTTAGAGACATGGAGTGTTTTCAGCTCTAAAGACATTAAATTGTCAGCAAGGAACTGGAGGAACTGGAGAGAATCTTATGTTAAATAAGTTAATGCAGTCTCAGATAAATGTCTCTCATATGCGGTTCCCTGATTATATAGATTCATAAAACCACATGCGAACAAAAGACATAAAAGCAAAAACAAAACTGTCTAGGAAAACAAAGGGACTTAATTGAAGTGGGAGGGTTTAGGGGAGATTGAGTGATATAGAAGGAATGATACTCAGTGTGTCATATATACTTGCACAAAAATGCCCATATGTAACACAGGAACAGGTTCCATAGATATATATTATAGTTTTAAGAAATATATACTGTAGGGTTGAGGCCTCATAGGCTTTTCCTTGTTAACTATGACATGTCCATCGGTGTCATCCTTGTTCAGCTCACATTCAGGTGATCATCTTGGTGAGACTTTATGGGGGTAGCTGCTGATGTTACTAGGAGGCACAATCTCAGAGCAAACTCTGGCTCTGACAGTCTTTCTGCCCCATCTTCTGCAGTGTTCCCTGAGCCTTAGGTGAAGGAGTGTGATATATATATCCATCCATCCATCCATTGGCACTGGGCTCCACATAAAGAACTATAGGCAACCAAGGAATGCTGGGAGCAGGAGAATTGGTCTTCTCCAAGCTAGAGCACACCAGTTGGTTGTCCAGTGCCAAATAATCATCCCTGAGAACATGCATACAAGTAAGATTGTATAGACTG